GCCAGGGTGTGAGGAAAGCTTGGCTTCCTCCATTGCTGGAGAAACCCAAGGCTCCTGCTCATTCCATGGCTGCAGCCATCTTGGTTGGGTTAATTTGCATAATTGCTTCTGATGGGCTGGTGATGTGGCTTGTGGTGTAGTGGAGTGATAGTTAATTTACATATTGCTCTTTTATTAGATAGAATTTCTTCTAATTAGTTTCCTTTCAATGTACATGAATCAATGCACTGGGACAATAGTCTTCCCATGTTATATAACATTTTATAGCATTAAAAAAATCTACTTGTCATGAGTGACCACTATCATGAATTTAGTGTGTATCTTTCATTTTTCCTAGGTGTGTGCATACACACACATAGGTGTGCCAGAATTGTGTTTGTAATTTTTATTTTAATCACGAGTAGAGAACATACTATTTACACTGTTCTGTAACTTGTTTTTTCTATTTACATTTTGTGGACATGATGTCGTATCAATATGTATTGATATAACTATTTCCAACAACTGAGTAATAATAATATAATATATTATGATTTATTTTAATTAATGGACTTATAGATTAGCTTTGGAATTTTATCTTAATATTCTTTCACATATATCTGTTATTTTTGTAAGTATGTATGTATTGATACGATAAGATGTGAAATTGCAGGATCAAGAGATACATATAACTTATTCAGAGTGTCCCATATCTCCGTTTTATGTACCCTTTATAGTTGTTTTTTTCATAGCTTTCATTTGTATTGTTTTATATTTTGTGATATTTCTTAAACCTTCCTTGGTGTTCTAGCGTTTTAAACAATATGTTCTGCTTTTTTGCTGCTTCTAAGGGATTTTATATTATTTTTATATCCTGTGTCTTTCCTGGGCTCTGGCAGCTCACTTTTGACTTGTTTGCCTTGTTTGTACTTTCTTGTCTCGGATCTGCTTTTTAAAAAAATGACTTAGGTTCACTTTCATTTCTTTGACTATAGAGAAACACAAGTAGTATTTTCCTGTTTAGGATTCTTGTTTATTCACCCAGAATTGGTCACAGAGAAAAATTTTTTACAGAGAGGAAGAGAGAGGGATAGGGAGTTAGAAACACCGATGAGAGAGAATCATCGATCAGCTGCCTCTTGCACACCCCCTACTTGGCATGTGCCCGCAACCAAGGTACATGCCCTTGACCGGAATTGAACCCGGGACCTTTCAGTCCGTAGGCCAATGCTCTGTCCACTGAGCCAAACCGGTTTTGGTGAAAAGGGTGTTTTATATAGGTTGGCTCCTCAGAAATATTGTAGGTAGAGTCAGCTGGGGGAGCCAGAGATGTCAGGTCTGAGATGTTGTCTGAGAGCACCACAGGCCTCCCACAAGCTCACTGTAACTCTTCTGCCGGAGGTGGGCATGGCATGTCTCACCTTCAGGTGAGCAGCTCATGTATGTAATTGGTCAGTTTTTTTCCTGGTGAAGCCTCCGATGATTTAGTGTTTAATCTTTGCTCATATTGTCTCTTGTCAGCAGCTGCAAAGGTTATTGCTTTTTCCCATCTCTTTTCTCAACTCTGCCCTTTTTTTGGAGTCAGAGAAAGTAAAGATTTTTTGTGCTCCTCTCTTATCTGCCTTTCCTCATTGTTTTTATTTTTTTAATTATTATTATTTTTTAATATATTTTATTGATTTTCTTACAGAGAGGAAGAGAAAGGGATAGAGAGTTAGAAACATCATTGAGAAAGATCAATTCAGCTGCCTCCTTCATACTCCCTACTGGTAACCAAGGTACATGCCCTTGACTGGAATCGAACCCAGGACCTTTCAGTCCGCAGACTGATGCTCTATCCACTGAGCCAAACAGGTTTCGGCTCCTCATTGTTTTTAAAAGGCTGCCATTACCATCTCAGGAATGCACGCCAATTTATTAAGTAACTCCCGTTTTTCTGGTATCTTGAATGCTGCTTATTTTTCTCTATGATAAAGGGTGATGAACAGTTTATGCCTGGTTATTACAGTTTGGAGATTTGGATTTGAGTCCTCTACTGCTTGCTGTATATGGGCTTGGGTGAATTGCTTAATTTCGACTTGCCTGTTTTTCTAATTATAAAATTGGAATGCTACTTAGCCAGTCCTAAGAATTAAATGAGATATTAACTTAATAACCTCAGCAAAGCACTTGGTGCTTTATAAACTTTAGTTAGAACCATAGATGCTCCAGAATCATCGTTTCCGTTGCTGATTCTCAGAAGTAGAATTGTGTCACAGGATAGAAATATTTTCAGGGTTTTGATACGCATTTCAAAATTGTTCTCCAGAAAGGTGGTGTCAGTTTTCTTGGGAGCTGAAACCCTTGGGTTGCCCTTCATATTACATGTTTTACATGAAGTTTGAGGTAAGTCCATTGGCCCAAGGACTTCTTACAGTTGAAGAGAACTCTGGGGGTGGGATGGGTATGAGTTGGCCTGAGACAAATAAAAGGATTATTTTCTTGTTTTGGCTACATAAATCTTTATATTTACACCTTGTATTGAGAATTTTGGTCCTCTTGTTCATTTTGCTCCATAAATATTTTAATTTTAATTTTAATTTTACCTGTGTTTTATGGTTTCCAAAGTGCCTCCTATAAGTTATTTTCCATTTGATTCCCACAATAAACTTGCTGGGTAAGTGAGGTAATATATATATTGAGGAAACAGATCCAGGGATACTGCAATTTAACTAACGGAAACAAAGCCAATGAGGAGTAGAACAGGAACACAAATGGTACTTTTCTGAATGCTGGTGTCTCTCTCTTGTGCTTTTGGGATCTCTGTTTCCTTTCTTGCAGTCCTACTTCAGGTCAAGTCATTGATCAAATTTTATTGTTAGACCACTAGGATTTATCTTAGTTCAGAATAGTACCTATACATATGAAGAAGTAATATGCTAATTTGTTCGTGAAGGTGTCCCTGTAATGACCAATTTTCATATTGACACATGCACAGCAGGGGGTGGGCGGCAGAAGCCTAGTTCCCTGCCATCTGAGGAGACTGCCTGACAGGAGCCTGGACTGCAAAGAAGGAAGAGGAAGCAGGCACGGGAGTTCTCCCAGTTCCCCTGCAGGGGACACCCTGCCCCAGCACCCACAGGGGGGCGGGGGGCTGACATTCAATTTCTTTGAGGTTATTCTTTTCTTTTTTAGTCCTCGTCTCAGGATATGGTCATTGATTTTTAGAGCAGGAGGGAGGTAGAGAGACAAACATCCTCAACTGAGGATCGCACACAAAACCTAGGTGTGTGCCCTGACTGGGAATTGAACCCAAAACCTCTTGGGCATATGGAATATGTGCCAATTAACTGAGCCACCCGGCCAGGGCAGTTAGGTAATTTTTATAAGACAAGTTTGATTGAAACTAACCATTTCTTAAATCTTTTTTGACTCAAGTTTTTTAGTTATTTAGTAATTTAGAATTCAATTCCCATTCCTACCCTTTACTATAATAAAAAATTTTCCTGGCTTTCTCCCCTGTATCCATAGCATCTAATGTAATTAAATGTTAAATGAATGACCAAGTTACTGTGGTCAGATGTTGATATTGAGTGATTAATGCTGAGTTGATTTAAGCTCTCAAAGATATTTTATTAAAGCATTGATCAAAAAGTTAAGACTTAATTTTAGAGTGTTTCCCAAGGCTTTGTCTGTGTGCACATAGGTGCATACATGTGTTTTAAGTACTATTCATTATTAAATTTGGATGTTTTCTGAACTCTAGTATGCTGTTAAGATTCTATCTAATAAAGAGGGAATATGCTAATTGACTACCCCGCCCTCAAAGATGGCAGCACCCACAGCCAATAAGGAGAGAATATGCTAATTGACTGCCCTGCCTTCAATATACAAATAAAACTGTATTTGTGCCCATTCCCCTAAGCCCCGCTGGGGTACCTGCCCCAGTGCCTTCAACCCTCCAGCCACCTAGGGCTGGCTCAAGGCACAGGCAAGCCTCGGATGGCCGTTGCGCAGCTGTCCAGGGCCACCCAAGGCTCAGGTAACCAGGGCTGGCTGAGACTTGCGCTGCTGGCAGTGGCAGCAGCAGAGGTGTGATGGGGGCATCGCTTTCTTCCCCTGATGGCTGGGTGACAGCAGGGAGGGCTGAAGGACACCCCCTCCTCCAGTGCATGAATTTTCATGCACCAGGCCTCTAGTTATTATTTAAAGAACTTTTTTTTATTTGATTTTAATTTGATATGTACAGATTTTATAGTTTTATTTGTATTTTATCAAACCTATCTGCTCAAGAAGTAAGAATGTCTACAGCAGTGGTTGGCAAACTCATTAGTCAACAGAGCCAAATATCAACAGTATAATGATTAAAAATTCTTTGGAGAGCCAAATTTTTTAAACTTAAACTTCTTCTAATGCCACTTCTTCAAAATAGACTCGCCCAGACTGTGTTATTTTGTGGAAGAGCCACATTCAAGGGGCCAAAGAGCTGCACACGGCTCGTAAGCCGCAGTTTGCCCACCACGGGTCTAGAGTTGCTGTGAGGATAGAGTGCCTTCTATAAATTATTTTCCATTTGATTCCTATGACTTTTAGGAGACAAAAAAAAAAAAAAAAAAAAGACTGTAATATTTTTGTGACATTCTCTATTTTAGATTTTAAGAGGTTTTTCAAATATTGAGGCATTCAAGTATTTTCTTATATTTTCAAATATTTGCAACAAAAAGGGCAGTGAAATTGAATGATAAGTAAACTACTTTATAATAACCTTGAACATAAAAGTAAATTTTTATAATGTGGTATCTCATTAAGGTACTAATATTAACATATTTTTCCATTTTCTTGTTGAAATTGCTAAGTAAAAATTTTATGGCTCAGAATTTTTGTTTATGTTTTTACTAAAAAAATAACTATTTTAGAAGTTATTTTAGGGCAAAATGCTTGCCTGAGTCACTAAAGTTAATAAATTGTTTTCTTTTAATTTATGTTTTTTAGTTATCTTATGGATTAACTCTTCATTCATCACATACAGCAGCAATATAATTATGGCGACCTTCCAGACTTTCAGAAACAGTCACATGAAGACTAGAGCATCTGTCAGAAAAGTAAGTTTTCTATATTACATTACTTTTAGTGATAGTTTAGTAAAAATGTTGATTTTTTTTGTTAAGCAGCTATGATATTCTTATTTTTAAATTACTCTCATTGAAATTAGTAACATTAAAATACTGCAAAGATTGGAATATATGACAGTAGTGGTGGGAAATCATGAAGATAATGAACCTTATTTCCTAAAGATCACAGTGCCTCCCCATTTCTTGTCAGCAGATAGTTTTCTATCATCTTTTTAGCAATATAAGGATCAGGTGTAAATTTTCTTATAGATCTTTAGCTTTGCTCCATCTGTCTGTCCGTCCATCCGTCCATCCATCCATCCATCCATCCATCCATCCTTCTTTCCCTTGGCCTAGAAGGACTGAAGGCATGTGGCACTTTGGTGGCTAATTTGCCCTGTAGTGCCACTTTTCTGTCCTTGCCTCTCTTTCTTTTCAAGGAACCTATACCACCAGGGGGCGTACTTCTTATGTACACTTTGCCAGAGGTATTGCTCTCTAGATGTGCTGGAGGGCTTCCACCTTTTTTTAATTACCAATTTTTAGATTAATGTTTTAGTGGAATAGTCACTTCCAGTGGTGGCAAGTGAGTTTATTCCCCTCACTCATTCATTTGTTTATTTGTATTGCTCTGGACTCATAGATTTTTAAAATAATCTACATTTTCCAATCATTTATTTATTTATAGTCACTTATTCATTCACTCATTTGTTTGTTTCAAGTTGCTTAAACCAGTGGTCAGCAGACTCATTAGTCAACAGAGCCAAATATCAACAATACAACGATTGAAATTTCTTTTGAGAGCCGAAAACCGACATGGGCCACTGTATGTGCGTGCCCGCACATGGCATTTTGTGGAAGAGCCACACTCAAGGGGCCAGAGAGCCACATGTGGCTCTCGAGCCGCAGTTTGCTGACTACTGGCTTAAACTATTCCAAACTTGGCCTCTGGGAGCCCCTGCAGGATTGTCCCTATATCCTTTTGTCTCAGGCGCATAATTCTTTGATTGCTTCTTTGTTTCTACTACAACAGATTGACCCCAGTTTCACCTTCCACTTCCCTTCCTTAGACCTGGAATTGGCTATTCCTCTAAAAAACTAAATAATATTCTGAAACCAAAATCTGTGAACTAGGAGTAGGAATGCTTATTGCTTCTTTAAGTGTTATGAGTTAATATTGATAGTTCATGTTCAGATTTTACATTTTAATTTTTTAATTCATGTTAGTATCTTAGCCCAAACACTTTCACTCATTAATGAAAACAGAATCATTTAAAATATTGAATATTTTCAAGCCTACAGAAAAATTGGGGGAAGAAAAATACAGTGAGCCCCACATATATTTTTCACTTACATTTATCCTGTAAATGTAAGTTTTACCATAATCATTCTATCTGTGTTTGCACACATATATGTGCGCTTTTTTTTTAATCCTCACCCGAGAATATTTATCCATTGATTTTTCAGCAGAGTGGAAGAGAGAGGGAAAGACAGAGAGAAACACATCAATTGGTTGCCTCCTGCATGAGCTCCAATCAGGACCTGGGCTGGGAGGAGCCTGCAACCAAGGTATGTGCCCTTGACCAGAATCGAACCTGGGACCTTTTGGTCCGCAGGCCAACACTATCCACTGAGCCAAACCGGCTAGGGCCATATGCATTTCCTTTTTGCTCATATATGCAGACCCAGGGAAAAGCCTGGAGACTGAAAAATATACCTCTGTAAGCAGAGGGCAGGGGAAGACCGAAGAAAGAAGCAGGTTGCTCCAGTCCAGCAATTAACAGAGTTTATTAAAGGAAACATAGGCTCATCTTGTGCTGTGGCAAGAGGAAGTAGATAATCTCCGTGATGCTTGGCAGGCATTAAAGAATTATTTAGAGCAGGGCAGGATAGATGAGGGACTGGACTGGTCCCAGGTAAGGGAAAATGCCTTTCATACTTGTCCGGACAGGCAGTGGTCTGTTCCAGGAACCAGCATAGCATGGAAATTGGGGAGTCAGCTATCTCTGAGGGAATTTATGGAAAGCAATCTCTCTTCTGATTATAGGAACAATCTCTGCTCTAGCCAGGATCTAATATAATATAACTTAAGGGTCTGGTAGTGGTCATGTCAGGAAACAGTCTCTCCTCCATACCTTCTGAAACCTTATGAGAGTAAGCTGCAGATATTATTTTACTTCTCTTCTGAATATGTCAGCATACATCTCTTAACATCAGCATCATTACCACTCTTCAAAAGTCATTAATTCAATATCATGTAATATGCAGTCTATTCACAAATTTCCCTAATTATCTAAAAATATTTTTGATACTTTTCCCTTGCCTGTCTTTAAGGATCCAATCAAGGTTCACATTGTATGTTTGGGTATTGTGTCTTTGTGGTATCTCCCAATCTAGTCGATTTCAATGGTCTAGATTCTTTTCTCATGACAGCAGGTCTTCGGAAGTCTGGACTAGTTGTCTTATAGAGCATCTCTATATTTGGAGTTCATCTGTTTTGCTCTGTAATTATGTTTAGCAGGAAACTCCCAAAGGTGATATAGTCTTTCCACTCTAATGCCAGCTTGACCAGGTGGTTAAGGTTATAATAATCTCTAATACAAAGACATATAATACATTGTAATTAACAATATCTGTAGAGTGATTCGATGAAACAATGTGAGTATCTTGTACCCAGTAGTTTGTAATCCAGTAGATCAGGGTATACTGATGTTCCTTTCCTAAATCAGTAATTACAGGGGGAGTTACAAATCAGATTTTCTAATTTTGTCATTCTGTCTGTATTTTTGTTTGTTTGTTTGTTAATCCTCACCCAAGGATATTGCCTTTGATTTTTTAAGAGAGAGTTGAAGGGAGAGGGAGAGACACAGAGAAAGAAACATCAATATGAGAGAGACACATCGATTGGCCTCCTGCACATGCCCTGAGGAAGGCTGGGATCAAGCCTACAATTGAGGTACCTTAGAACTGGTACCCTTCATTTTGAGGGCCAACACTATCTACTGAGCCAAGTAGCTAGGGCAGTCAGCATCTATATTAAAATGCACAATGTGCTAATTAGACTGGACGTCCTTCCAGATGACTTTCTGGATAAAGCCCGGGTCCTAGGTGCCAGAGGGAAGCCAGTGTCGGCAGCTGGGGGAAGGAAGGTCTACTCTTGTACAAATTCCATGCATTGGGCTTCTAATCCTATCTAATAAAAGAGTAATATGCAAATAGACTATCACTCCAATACAAGATGGCTGCCCCCAAGTGGTCAAATATAGCTGCCCATGTGGACAAAAGATGGCCACTGCAAATGGCCAGCAGGGGAGGGCAATTGGGAGGGACTAGTTCTGCAAAGGAGGGCAGTTTTGGGCTATCAGGCCAGGAGGAGAGAGCAGTTGGGGGGGACCAGGCCTGCAAGGGATGGCAGTTGGGGGCAATCAAGCCTGAAGGGGAGGGTAGTTAGGGGTGACCAGGCTGGCAGAGGAGGGAAGTTGAGGGTGACCGGGCCTGCAGGGGAGGGCAGTTAGCAGCTATCAAGTTGGTAAGAGAGTGGTTAGGGGCTGATCAGGCTGGCAGGCAGAAGCAGTTAGGGGCAATCAGGAAGGCAGGAAGGCAGGCAGATGAGCAGTTGGGAGCCAGCAGTCCTGGATTGGAGAGAGTGCAGGCTGGGCTGAGGGTCACCCCCTTCTCTCCATACCCCCCCCCCCCTCCGTACATGAATTTCATGCACCGAGCCTTTAGTTCTTATATAAAGGACTCTTCCCCATCTCTACCCTTTTATATATATCTTTTTTAGGTTTTGTAAAAAAATTTAGTTTTTATAGTCCATTATCATTTTTATTCTTTTAATACCCAAATTGTCCCAAATTAGGCCAGTGGGAATTACTTCAAGTTGGCTTCTATGTCTTTTGAAATGACCTAGTCAGTCTCTGGCACTTCTTTGCATTCTGTCAATAAGAAGTTGCAGCCACACTTCATATTTTTCTATCTCTGACCTAGAATTAACCATTTCCCCAAGGAGCTCTAGTTCTTTTTATTGGTACATGGTATTTAGAAATCAAAATCTAGGTACTGGAAGTGCTCATTCTTACTGAGGGTCATTGCTTCTATGATTTTTCAGTGGAAAAATGTAGTACATATACTTAGAGTCTTGAGTCCATATTGATAGTTCACATTCAAATTTAATTACTTTTTTTTAAAATTGTTTCACTGGTGGTTTGTGAGGTTCAAGATGTTGGCGACCACTGATTTAAAGTATTATGTCTCCTTTTTCCCCATCAACCCCTCCATGGCCACTCCCACCCTCCAGGACAAGCCCCCACCTCCTCAGGGTTCTTGTCCATTGCTTATGCTAATATGCATGCTTAAAAGTCCTTTGGTTGATCTCTATACTCCCCCCTCACCCCTGCTTTCCCTCTGAGGTTTGACGGTCTGTTCTGTGTTTCTCTGTCTCTGGATCTATTTTTGTTCATCAGTTTATGTTGTTCATTATATTGCCCAAATGAGTGAGATCATGTGATATTTATCTTCCTGACTAGCTTCTTTTGCTTAGCATTTCATATTTGTATCTCTTCTCTTAGACTGAAGATTTTCACTTATTTTCAGTTTATTAAAATTAGCACACACTTATTGAGTTTATATACAGGGTGCGGCAAAAGTAGGTTTATAGTTCAAATGGAAAATAGTACAATAATAAATGATAATAAAGATTAAATCTGAGTTTAGTGTACTCACAACTGTAATTCCACTTTTGCCTCATCCTTGATACATGTGGTATTGAAATGTAGGGAAACACATTGAGTTAAATACAATTTTACAGTCTCTTGCCTTAGTAATTTGGTTGAATAGGTAGGCAAGACATATATATCATGAAAACAGAGACCATTAATGTAGGAACTTTGAGATTTATTATGACCAAGGTATGGGAACTTCTTCACATGTCTTGGAAGATTGAGGAATAAGGATATTGCTGATAGAAAAGCAGATCAACAGATCAGCAGGAGAACAAGTTAGAAGGAAATTAATAATCTATTTATGTCTAATTATAATAGTTATTATTTTCTTTATGTAACGTTTTCTTTCTTATAGTATTTCATACTTGTGACAGCCTCTCCTGCTAAATCTGCAATGCCTTTCCTCACATTCATCATACAACTGCCTTAAGGTTCCTGAAAACTTTATTTGTGGTTAAGTTTTTTCCCCCTCCATAACCAACTTTGTTATGAGAGTAATTACTATTGTTAACATTCCTTATTGTAGCTTCCACAGTGTCTCACTCCTTATAAATTATTGCTTCTGTTCTGCCAATGATTTAGATATCAAGTATGCAGACTGTTAGGTTTTAATGTAGGGTAAGAGTAAGTAAACCTAGTGTAAGGGCCCCACGGTCTTTCAATAGGATGAATTGCCTGGGCTATGATGTGTGTGTTTTGAGATGTGGAACTCTATTTAAGCATTTTATTCTTTTTTTTTCTTCTCTTAGCTGAATTGAGTTCTGTATTTATCAAAAGGTATATAATATGTCAAATGAATATTAATTGAGTTGGTTACTCTCATTTAAAACTAGAATATCTCTTGGATCTTTGATCTTGTCTTAGAATCAATCTTAACAATATCTTTTGTTTTCAGAGCTTCAGTGAAGATGTATTCCAGTCTGTAAAGTCTTTATTACAGAGTGAGAAGGAACTGTGTAATATATATGCAGAAGACTGTTTAAAGAAAGATCAACATACCAATTTAACTGAGGTTTGACATATTATTCTCTTTTCCCTTTCCTAATAAAGCAAAATGTATGTTCATGCATTTCTGTAGAACTGCATTCCTACTTTTTAAATGCCTAAAATGTTTACATGCATGAGAAGTATCTGTTTTAAAAACCCACTAATTTAATTGTCATTTAATTTAGTGCACAGACATTATTGAGCACTCATCAGACAGGCAGTGCTGTATCAGATGATTCCTACTTGATTCAGTGATTGGTACTTTAATACTGAAACTTTCTACTGTGAAACATGAAATAAATTCTTTTTTTTGTAATAGTTTTGTTGGTCATTGTTAGTTTTCTTGGTTGTTTAAATTCAGTACCTTGAGTCAAAATGAAAAAATAATGCTAAATTTATTTTGAAATTAAGATATTTACTACTTGAAGATAAGATATATCATTTGCTCACCTGTTTCACTGCTACATTAGTGTTTCCTATCTTTGTTTGAATTTATTACTAATAAAAAGGAATAACAGACCTAGCTGGTTTGGCTCCGTGGATAGAGCATTGGCTTGCAGACTGAAAGGTCCTGGGTTTGATTCCAACCACAGGCACATGCCCAGGTTACGGTCTTGATCCCCTATAGGGGGCGTGCAGGAGGCAGCAAATCAGTGATTCCCTCTCATCATTGATGTTCCTATCTCTCCCTTTCTCTTCCTCTCTGAAATCAATAAAAATATATTACAAAAACAAAAAGCTTAAAAAAAAAAAGGAATAACATTTTATTCTTCAATATAATCATAGTCCATTAACACATTTATGATATCAAATAGGATATGAGCTCAATAAATCTGAAAAATAAGATATAAGGTTGTTAATAAAAAATTTTTTGAAATTAGTATTCTAATGACAGCTTAATTATTCTTATGTTTGGGAATGATTTTCTTTCCTCTTTCTTGAGAAACTATATTGAAGTAGATTCATAGGATGATGAGCACACTTTTCAGGCCTGTAGTGTTCTCTGACCGAAGCCTCTTCTTTTTGTATCAGCTCAATTTCTATGGCTCTTGACTATTATCTTAATTTCCCTCTTTACTTTATTTTCATAAAGCTGAGCTACTCTTAATCTCCTTGTTGTTGCCTTGTGTGATAAGTCTCCTGTGTCCTTCTGCCTTCAAACAATTTTCCAGCCTGTATATCTCCAGTTGCTTATGCAGTGCCTTTCCAAGCCCACATTTTGGCAAGGTCGTCTTCAATCCATGGGATATGCAAAACTCAAGTGGCATCTTTAAAACCCCAAGTCAGCTTATTTTCTCTTTTGTATTCAGTAAAAGGAAATTCAAAGAATAGAAGGAATTTCTTTCTCACGTTAGTATTCCAAAGTATCTTTTCGAAGAAAGGAAGGGAATTTAATTGAATGTCTCTGTGTTATTGGGTGCCTATAATATACTAGGCACTTTACTCTACATTATCTGATTAACCCTCACAACTGTGGAGGAGAAGTTGTATTGCCTTACATTTTATAAGATGCGGAGACAAGCTACTAGAAGTTAACAACTTACCTAGACCTGTAGAAATTAACTAACAATTCTGTGAAGTAATAACCCTAATAATTCAGAATAAACATCCTAAGCTAATTTCTGACTTGTTTCTGAATCGTCAGGAAGAGATCAAAACTATATCATGTTGCTTTATATTTTAACTATGATATTTTCTCTTAATTCCTAGATTATCCATATTATTATTTAATTATTTCATACTTTTAGTCACAGTACAGTTTATTATTCAATCTTCAAATGGAAAATATTTCTTCCAATAATGCCAATGACAAAAGGAATATAAATTTTACTTTTATTATTTTTAATTCTCACCCAAGGATATTTTTCCGTTTGTTTTCAGAGTGTGGAAGAGAGAGAGGAACACTGATGTGAGAGAAACATCTCAGTAGGTTGCCTCCTACATGATCCCCAACCAAGGCCAGGGCTGGGGAGTAGCCTGCAACCGAGGTACATACCCTTGACTGGAATCGAACCTGGAACCCTTCGGTCTGCAAGCTGATGCTCTATCCACTAAGCCAAACTGGCTAGGGCTGAAAATATAAACTTTTAAAATAACACTTTTTTTCAGATTATAAAAGCAGTACATATTTCCGTATAGGGAGCTTAAAAGAAGAAAATGACTATCATTAATCTTATGAATGAGGAGGAAAAATCCACAGTGATAAAAGTAGAAAAAAAAACTGGCTGGTATGGCCAGTGGTTGATTGTTGGCCTATGAACCAGGAGGTGATAGGTTCAATCTCTGGTCAAGACACATGCCCGGGTTGTGGGCTTGATCTCCATTGTGGAGCTTGCAAGAGGCAGCCAATCAATGATTCTTTCTCATCATTGATGTTTCTGTTCCTATCCTTCTCCCTCCCTCTCTGAAATCAATAAAAAAAGAAAAAAAATATCACTTGTAATTTCATTGTCTTGAATTAATCACTGTTGTAATTTGATGTATTGCTTTCCGATGTCATTATCATGCATATGTTTTAAAAAATATTGTTGAAATTATAGGCATACTCTTTCATTTTTGTGTAACTTGTACTTTTATTTAATGTGACATGTCCTCATATCATTTCATATTCTTTAGAAATTTAATTTATATAAATTTCTACAGAGAAATCTCTATATAAGGGCATTGATGGAAATAAGTGATGATAACACAGGGAGTCAATAAGGATCTAACCTTGAGGGTGTCCTCTATGAGGAGGTAACATTTAAGTTGGATCTTGAAGAATGAGGTAGAACTAGGCATGGGAACATCAAAGAAACAGAGATCTAGGTTGAGGGGGTGCTACTGTAACGTCCTTAGGCAGGTACATACTGGGCAGATAGGCCCAGAAGGGAGCCTATGTGTACAGATGAAAGTGAGGGAAGATTGAAGCCAGCTAACCCAGAGCCTTGGGGCCTGTTAGGACTGCACTGGGAAGCAGGGAAGGCTTTTGAAAGGCAAGTGACATGATAATTACTGGAATCGGTGGGAAGAGAATTGTAGTAGCGCAAAAGAGAAGTAGTGGTAGCGGGAATGGAGAGAAGTAGATGTATGTGAGATATGTTTTGGGAGTAGAATTGATTGTACTTGCTAGTGAAGTTGAAGAACTGCACTTTGAAGCCAAATCTTGGATAGAAAGCCTCATCATCATCTTTGAAAAAATTAATCATTCTGTCCAAGATAGTCAGCATTTTTATTTATTTACTTTGAGGTCTAATTGACATAAAACATCATATTAGTTTCAGGTGTACATAATGATATTTACAGGTGTAAATATCAAATAATGATTTGATATTAGTATGTGGCAGTATTTTAATTCTTTATGTGTTTTTTTTTTCTTTCTGTTTCTCAGCTGTCAGTAATTTAATTGAGATAAAATGTTTAAATTTGAACTAATGGAGCTTTATTATTATTTTTTTAATCCAGGTCACATTTCTAGGTTTTAATGAAGAAACAGATGCTGCTCATATACAGGTATGATGATTTATTAAACTGGGAAGGACCAGGAAAGATTATTAGTAACAAATTTTGAGACATGTAAAATTTGCCTTTTAACCAAAAACTTATACACTAAACTTTTCTGTTTTCATTCCTGTTTAAAGTTAAAAGGTGACATTTTGAGATCAGCTTTGGACATTTTCACTGACTATTCTTGGTATGGAAAGCAGTTTTAGGTTAGGAAACCACAAAAGCCAATTATCTTAAGAAAGCTGAAACCGTAAGCTGGACTTTTTCCCGTGAAGTAGAATGTAAGCCTTGTTTTGTAATTTGGATGATTTTTATAATCTGGCCTCAACAGTCAGATTCTTATATTTTCAAATTAGATAGAATGAAATTTAAATGGTAAAATAAATGAGATAGAGTTAATTTAAAAGGTAAAATTTATAAAAAGTAATATTAGCCAATGCAAAACCTTTAGCCTGTTTGATTTACACAGGAGTTTACAGAGGCACTGACAGTTGAGATTAGGATCAGCAAAAGGAAAGCTTCACAGTTACCTAAAGAGTGGTTGAAGCTCCAGTAGGTGTGATAGGCATACTGTGTTTTACCTCATGCAGTATCTTAAGGTTTGTGATTGCCATATATTTCCTTTTGTGGCAGTAAAGGTCTGCCAATAGAAAAAGAAGTAATACTATTCAGTCTTTGGGAACAATGCACATAAGGTGATAATGAAAACTCTTGTGTGTCTTGATTGTACCCTTACCTGAAGGAAAAAGTTTAGGCAGAAGGTGCAAGAGGGGACATACAATTGAGAATGTGAGGCTGAAAGCAGAAGTGTTTGAAAGTATTTCTCTCTTATTCTACTTCCTCTTTAAGAGTTACTGATAAAACCATAATTAGAAAGGAAAGTATTCTGAGAGATCAAGGATGTTATAATACCTTAACTGGGTAAAATCCTATCTAATAAAGAAGGAATATGCTAATTGACTCTCATGCTGTCGCAAAGATGGCGACACCCATAGCCAATAAGGAATGAATATGCTAAATGACTGTCCTGCCCTCAAAGATGGCGGTGCCCACAACCAATAAGGAGGGAATATAGTAATTGACTGCCCCGCCCTCAAAGATGGTGGCACCCAGTCCCCTTAATCTCCTAGCCACCCGGGGCCAGCCTGAGGCACAGGCAAACTTTGGATAGCAGCTGCCCAGCTGTTCAGGGCCACCCAAACCTCAGGTAACTAGGGCTGGCCAATGCTTGTGCTGCCACCAGTGGCAGCAGCAGAGGTGTGATGAGGCATCGCCTTCCCCTGATCACCGGGTCGCCTCCTGCCCCTGAGGACTCCCGGACTGTGAGCTGAAGGACCCTTCCCCCGCCAAAGCAACTGTTATGACTGAATGACCAGCCTATAGCTATGAAACACACTGACCACCAGGGGCAGATCTCAATGCAGGAGCTACCCCCCTGGTTGTCAGTACCCTCCCACAGCTGACCTCCCATGGCTGGCCAAACTCCCATGGTCCCTCCCCACAGCCAGCCAACCCTGACCAGGACTGGGCAATATGCCCAATTGGCCCCAATGACTGGCCAGGCCAAAGGACCCCACCTGTACACGAATTTGTGCACTGGGCCTCTAATATTTACATAAAAAGGACAAATGAGAGAAAAAAGCTTCAATAAATTATCAAAGTTTAATATAATACTTCAGAGAGAAAGGATAGAAAAATAGATTTGTACTTTAAGAATATAAAACTTAAACTCCAATGAAGTATAATCTTTAGACAAGAATCCATATGAAAAATTTCACAGTTAAATTGAGGACTGCAGGTTGACATTTGCAGCTAAAAACTATTAACCCTCATGGATGTGTGAGGTACCATGTGAAATATTTTGTAGCTTCATATTAATACATTTAAATGGGTACAGAAATGGCAGGTATTAAAATACTTTAGTACACTTCATTTTTGAGTTTTAAAAAAATTGTGGTTGATAAGCATATGTTAACTATTATGAACTGGAAAATTTATTAACCAGTAAACCTTATGATTTTTAGATAGGTCCCTCATTATAGGAAACTTAACAAAGTTTTATTATTTTAAATTAGGATTTAGCTGCTGTTTCTCTGGAACTTCCAGATCTTCTGAATTCACTACACTTCTGTAGTCTAAATGAAAATGAAATTATTTGTATGAAGGATATAAATAAATCATCAAATATAAACAATGGTCCTCTAAATCAGGTAACTTTTATATATAATTTCTAATGAGTCTTTAAGGGCAGATTTTACAATGACATTTGATTAAGACTGTTAAACTTTTAAATGCTTCAGTGAATTTTTTTTTTTTTTAATAAACCATATTTGAGGAAGTATGATTCATGAGAAATTTAACTCATGAAGCCTTGAAATCATGCCGAATGCTACAGGAAATAGAATACAAAAATAGAATAGTACCAGGTTCCTGCCTTCAAGGAGTTTGCAGGGTAGTTGGTAAGTTAGGTGAATGATTAAATAAAAAACACAGGACTGTATAGTAATACAGGAAAACATTGCTAAGTGAATGGATAGTAAATTCTGTAACATTTAAGGAGATAATGTAGGTAGAATTTCAATACCTGGATAAGAGAAAGCTGGGAGAAAAAGATTAGGGAGTGAGAAATGTGGAGAAAGAATAAAGAAAAAAATTAAACATTATAAAATCAGGCTGCATTTCAGAATGCATATTTTTTTTTTAAAAATTGTTTTCCCCCATGAGATTGTGTTATTTCTAGGCTTCACTTCCAGATAATATGTTTTGTATGTATAATATGTTTTGAAATTAAAATATTTTTATCTTTCCCAAGAGTCGTCATTCTGGAATGGTTTGTGTCATGAGAGTGTCACCACCTACATTACCAAGACTCAAAATTGATTTTATCTTTAGTCTCCTAAGTAAATATGCTACTGGTATAAGATACACCCTGGATACATACTTGCATCAGAAGCGCCAACTTGAGACCACCAATGAAGATGATGATGATACTAACCAGTCAGTGTCTTCTATAGAGGATGATTTTGTCACTGCGTTTGAGCATTTAGAGGAAGAAGAGACCTTAAAGCCATATAATGATGGTTTGTTTTTTACTTAACTTCTTCTTGATATAGAGGATTAAAGTTTAAAGTTCAGTTTTAAAGGCTTTAAGGCTGAGTTACTCAATTCTTTTTAACCTTTTTTCCCCCCTGATTGTCTGAGGAATTGCTTTTCGTGAGATTTTTTAAGTTCATCTGATTTCTATTTTTATTGGTTTCAGAGAGAAACGGAGAGAGAGAGAGAGAGATAGAAACATCAATGATGAGAGAGAATCATTGATTGGCTACCTCCTGAACACCACACTGGGAATTGAGCCCTCAACATGGGAATGTGCTCTGACCAGGAATCGAACCATGACCTCTTGATCAAAGGGCAATGCTCAACCACTGAGCCATGCTGGCTGAGCCATTGTTACCTGGTTTTTAGTTTTGCTATTTCTGTTCTTATTTTGTTAGTACTGTTTACCTTATCATAAGGGTTTGGAACATGCTTAGGGTCAAACTTGAGAGGAGTTAACTGGCAGAGTCACTCACTGTATTTGTGTTTCTAAAACATGTGACAGCATACTAAGCATTCTGTGTATTCTCAAGTATGGGGTAAAATTAAATTATTTTAGTAAAAGATATATTTGCTTTTGAGAATGATTTGGGATGAATATGTGAACATAATTTAGAAGAGACATGTTACAAAAAATATTTTATGCTGAAAGTCTATTCCCATTGATTTAAATTAAAAAAAAAAAATCTGTTCAAGAATAACCTGATAATTTTATTCTTTTCCAATAGGAGTAAACGATACTGCACTAAAGAGCCACTGTGATGCTGCCTCACAGACTACTTCTGGTCACCAGTTAGAAACCCATGATTTAAGGATTCTGGTTAGCTCTGGGCAGCAGAAGTCATTGGCTAAACCTTCAACTTCCTTAATAAATGTTCTGGGACATAAAGAACAACCTATGAAAAGTTTAGTCACAACATCAATTTCTGAGCCTTGGATCCAAAGGAGTTTCTATAGGTCATCTAATGCTTCAGATAAAGGTCGTGACATGCAGAAAACGTTTTTTTCTTCTTCTCCTGCATATTCATCTGAATCAGAATGCTCAAGTCCAAGTCCAGTTATTTTCTTAGATGAAGAAGGATATCAAAAAAGTTTAAAAGCCAAACTTGAGTTACCAAAAATTCCTGTAATGAAAGATGATATAGAGGACTCAGACTCAGAAGTAAGTGAATTTTTTGATAGCTTTGATCAGTTTGATGAACTAGAACAAACTTCAGAGACTTCTTGTCCATTTCTAAAAGATTCTGTAAAAGAGAAGATATTGAAAAAGAAAGGGCACAAACATGACAAATCTTCTATAACTACTACTATGAATCCTCAAAAATTCAAGTTTGATTGTCCAGTCCTCCCAGCTAATGTTCGAAAGCCAACACCTCGTAAACCAGAATCCCCTTACAGCAACCTGAGTGATGCTCCAGATTCTCCTCGCCCTGTGAAGGCATCTGGGGAAGACAGTGGCTTGTTTAGCCCCATTCGGTCCTCTGCTTTTAGTCCTCTTGGAGGCTGTACACTTGCTGAATGTTTTTGCCAAACAGATATTGGTGGAGATAGGATTCATGAAAATCATGATTCTATTTATTACACTTACGAAGATTATGCCAATAGAATTACATGTGAAGTACTGGGCTCGGTCCTTCATACTCAACATACTAATGCAATATCAAACATTAATAGTGTTAACAAGGGAGAAAATGAAACCATTGCTCTTAAAAGTGGAAACCTTGATCAAAATAAATCTAAAAATAAACCCTTAATGATTAGAGATAGCATTCAAAAATTTGCAGCAGATCTTGTGGAAAAAAGTTTTGGCAGTGCATTTAAAGACTTGCAGAAAGGAGTCTCTTCATGTACCAATGCATTGTGCCATTTAGCCATCAAATTAACATCATCGGTTTTTCAGATGGCATTTAATGAACTGAAAAGGCAGCGTGCATTTTCACTGCAAGAGCATGCTATTAGTGGTCTGGCTAATTTTTTGGTGAGTGAAGCGTTATCAAATGCTTTAAAAGATTTACAGTATGTAAAGAAGCAGATATTTACAAACATAGTTGCTGGATTTGCTGCAGATCTTGCCGAAGAGCTTATTTTTGAAGGTATCATGGAAGTGTGTCAATTTTCATCTCCTCCAACACCTGCATCTCCAAAGTATTCATTTGACTATGAAGACAAAGTAGTGAAGTCATATGCAAAAGATTTATCTGAATCTGTAATGCAGGAAGCATTCATTGAGCTATCACAAGTTGATGTGATTTTTACAACAAAGGCAGCAGTTAGTATTTCTACAGATAACATAAAATATGTGAGTGCAGAAAATACTGTGCCATGGACACAGACCTCCACATGTCCCATTTTTAATAGTCAAGCAGTTGTGGCAAAACCAATGCCAGAACATAAATACACTGTACAGCAGGCCTTATTGTGTACTTCTGGAATTGTTACTTCTATACCAGTGCCCCTGGCTGGAAGTGCCCTTATTCCATATCACTTTTCATCTAATATATATCAGGCAAAGACTCATGTGTCATCTGGTGATAGTAATTTGAGTGGTGATTCTATTGAAGCAGGTTTTTCCACAAAAAACAATGAAGAGGAAGTAGCTTGTCTCAGAAATATTTGTTTACCTTCAGAACACAGTCTAGGTAACGAGAATGATTTTAAACCAACTAATGATGTTGAAATGCAGAGCTCTTCAAAATTAACAAGTGATCCTGTTATTATTAGCAACTTTTCTACAGCACTGGTGCATTCTATAGTAAATGAAACTTTAGAGTCAGTGACATCATTCAAAGTTACCAAAACAGTTGATGAACACACAGATTGTTTAACTAAAACAGTAAAGGAAAAAAACCCTTTCCACAATGATCAAGTGACCCTGCAACAGAGTGAAGCTAGCAATAAGGACATGTTTGTTGATCGACTATCTAAATCTGTTAGTAAACATTCTATAGAGAAAAGCAAATCGGCGATCTCCAATGTGGATAAAAATATGGTAAACAGGGAAGGCTTGCCTGTTGCTGGAGAAGAGTCACAGTTGATCTGGGAAAAGTTTCCCAGATCTCTTGATGCTCAAGATCACTTAGCTCACTGTTCACTTTTAGTAGGAAAGGATTGTGTTCTAGAATGTAAAGATTCTATAGCTCATGGATTTTCTTTAGAGCCACTACCATGTTGTTCTACTATGGCAGGTCAGAAACCTGATTTGAAGGAAGCTGCTAAGGACAAATCGGTGAAAAAGTATAATTTGAATAATATGGCACCTGTGCCCTTGTCTTTTGGGCAAGAAAGCCCTTATCCCCATTCACAAACTTTCTCATCTGCAGTACTTACATATGCAGATGGTTTGCATGTGGAAGATAAACAGAAAATCAGAGATGGAAATATAATACCTGATACTCCTCCATCAACTCCTCTAGTACCATCCCAGACTAGTTCTGAATGGGATATCAAGAAGTTAACCAAAAAGCTAAAGGGGGAATTAGCAAAAGAATTTGCACCTGCTACACCACCTTCTACACCTCACTACTCATCTGTTGGTAGTTTGTCTGAAAATGAACAAAATACTATTGAAAAAGAAGAGTTCATGTTGAAACTCATGAGATCTCTTTCAGAAGAAGTTGAAAGTAGTGAAGGTGAAGAGCATCCAGAAATGGATGTGAAGGCAGAGCACTCGGAGAAGAAAGCTCAGTTTGCCGAAGCATTAGCTTCACACATCATTTCTCTTGCAACTGAAATGGCAGCTTCCCATTTAGATAATAAAATAATTCAAGAACCCAAGATTAAAAGCCCTTGCTTAAATGTGCAGAATCGAAGAAGTGTATCACCTACTTTGTTAAATCACGCAGATGAAAATTTACAAGCATTATGCAATTTTGCAAGTGATATGGCAGCAGAAGTCATTACAGAAGCTGAGAAAATAGCAAAAGTTAGAAGTTGTATGCTTTCCAGGCAGAAGGAAAGTAGTTATAGTGATGGTGACCAAGATCATAGATCAGAAGAGAAGTTGAATATTGAGACTGTAGCACATCCAAGAGAAGTTGATCCATTTATTCTTTCATTACCACCAAGTTCTTGTATGTCAGGTCTTTCATATAAGTATCCCAGCTGTGAAAGTGTGACAGATGAATATGCAGGTCACATTATCCAAATACTAAAACAGGAAGGTGGTAATAGTGAGTTAATAATGGATCAGTACGCCAACAGACTTGCTTATCGGTCTGTCAAATCGGGATTGAAAGAAGCAGCTAAGACCGCAACAATGAAGTGCAACTCAAAAATGTTTCTCTTGCAAAACTCACAGGTGAAAGCCAACAATGAACTCTTAATGTTCTTAAATAAACACCACCAAGAAGTAGATAAAAGACAAAGTAAAAGAAATGGAGGTTACCGCTGTAAAAATCAAACTTGTGAATGGACAGGGAATACATACAGAAGTAAATGCTCTGAACTGTATAGTTTTTCAACTTCTCTTGCTTACAGCATAACCAGAGATGTTAAAAAAGAGCTTACATTGTGTGCAATTGGCTTGCCAAAATCCTCAACAGATTCTTGCCTTTATGAAAAGTCTGGATGTGATGAAGATAATGAGTCTCACATTGAGCCAGAATTTCCTAAGTTTCTTCAACCTTCCCCGCAAAATCACAGATTTTACCACAGTGCAAGCAGCTTAAATGCGTATGGTTATGAAGAGAATGTTGTTCAAGCCATAGAACAGTATGCTAAAAAAGTAGCGGATGACACTTTGGAACTCAGTTTAGAATCCACAGTTTACCAAGTGTCTGAGACCACAAAAGCAGCAGATAGGATCACTTATGCAGAAAAGTTGTCACCTCTTGTAAGTCAAGCTTGCAGATATTGTGACGAGAAAGAACTCCATGACTGCAATGGAAATTCACCTCAACATTCTTTCAGACAGGATTCACTTGCTCATAGTAAGCCAGGTTCTAATTTAAAATTTAACAACATTTATCAGAAATCTAGAATTTTTCACCTTGATGTTCCTCAAATTCATGTTGATCTTGATAAGAAGACAGTGCTTGCTGAGAAGATAGTTGCTGAAGCTATTGAAAAAGCAGAGAGAGAGCTGAGCAATACCAGTTTGGCAGCTGATAGTGGAATTGGACAGGATGGTGTTAGCTTTGCTGAAAGCCTTACTACAGAAATAATGACATCAGCTATTGTGAATGTTGAACATGCTGTTAGTAGGTAAGTTTCAAGTTTCTTTTGGGTCTTATGATAAAATGAAAAGTTAAACTCCATCATTCATGGCTAGATGGCTCAGTTGGAAAGGTTTCAGTTTTGATTCCCAGTCAGGGCACCCAGTTTGCAGGTTCCATCCCTAGTCAGGGCAAGTATAAGAAGTAACTGACTGCTATTTCTCTCTCACATCAATGTTTCTCGCTCTAAATTAAAAAAAAAAAAAAATCAAAACATATCCTCGGGTGATGATTTAAAAAACAGTTAAACTTGATAATATTGTGTCTTAGATTCTGTTCAGAAAGGGAGGATTATTTTTTAACCATAAATTAACAATTTTTCTCTGTTACATTTATGTATTGTTTCATATCCTACATATTACTTTGATATACACTCTTCATTATCCCACAACAACCTTTTGAGGGAAGGTATTAACCATTCACCCAACTAAAATGTGAATGGTTTAAAACTATCATGTGATTGTAGAAATGCCCAATATAATTCTGGTTAGTATATTTTAAATACAAAATGAGAATAGCCCCAAAGAGGGGGTAGTTGAGGACCTATTCTAGGCACTGGGGAACAAAAGTAAGTAAAACAGGCAAAAATATATGTTCACTTGGACTTCACGTTACAGTAAAAACAATAAGATTTTAAAAATGTGAAAAAAAATAAGTAAAATATGTAGTACATGGTAATAAGTGCTTTGCAGGAAAACTAAAGCAAGGGAGTTAGTGTTTTTGGTGGTGGCAGCAGGTAGGGCTGGTTTGCAGTTTTGAACGGGTAGCAGGCAAAAGTAACCCTGACAAGGTAACATTTTAAAAAAAAAATATATTTTATTGATTTTTCTTGCAGAGAGGGAGAGAGAGAGCTAGAAACGTCGATGAGAAACATCGACTAGCTGCCTCTTGCACACCCCTACTGGGGATGTGCCTGCAACCAATGTACATGCCCCAGACCAGAATCGAACCTGGGACCTTTCAGTCCGCAAACCGACGCTCTACCACTGAGCCAAACCGGTTTCGGCATGGTAACATTTGAGCAAAGAGCCAAAGGTGAAGCGAGAATAAGTCACATAAGAATCAGTGGAAAGAGGGTTCCAGGCAAAGGGGTGGGACTGTGCATGTTGAGGAAACGGCAAAGAGGCTTGAGTGGCTGAAGTGAGTGAGCCAAGGGGAGTAGTAGGAGATAAGGCATAGGTTATGAGAGATTGTCATTCCAGGTTATATAAGTATTTGACTTATTTTGACTGGTGAGAAGCCACTAATGGGTTTTGATCAGAAGACTAACATTCTTTCTCTTTATGTTTAAAATACACTTTGACTGCTATGTTGAGAATTAAATGTAGTTGGGCAATTGAAATAATTGAACAGTGAATGGCCTTCTTTGTGAAAAGATAGAGTAAAATTTGAGAATGTATTTTCATTGAAAAAAAAGTGAAAAGGATTAGATTTATGATACACACTCAAATTCAAAGAGATTTGACTAGTTTGACTCTTAAGTTTGATTTACAGTACTAGAATTACTTGAACTACTTTTTTGGTTTTTAAAGCCAAAATAAAGGACTTTTTTTTTTGTTGTTGTACAAATAAAAGTACTATCTTACAAAGCAGTTGGAAAACTTAGGAACTTGTGCTCTTTCATAGTGTTCCCAGTTGAAAGTATGAACTGCTTTGAAAAGAATTTAAATGATGCACTTGTGATAGATGGGTGTTTGTGAGTACTTACTTAACTCTGAAAGTAACAAGCTGCCCTGCTAAGTCTCTTTGTTAGCAGACACAATGAAAGGGGGTTAGGTCTGAATATCATTCTTGTTTTTGTTATCTTTATCATTTATAAGAATTATAGACTTACTAAAGGCCCAGTGCATGAATTCGTGCATGGGTGGGGTCCAGCCGGCTTGACCCCAATAGGGGCAGATTGGGGCAGGGCCTGTAGGGAAGAGGAGACAGCAGGAGGTTGACCAGCCAGCATGCCCCAATTGGGCCCGTTTGCGACTGAGCCAGCTGGGGAAAGGGGCTGAAGGGGGAGGGGCAGCTACAAGAGGTTGGCCAGCTGGTCCCACCCCTCGATTGGGCCTGTTTGTTGGCCACAGTGGGCATCATGGCAACCAGTCATTTCGGTCATTCTGGCATTCTGGTTGCTGGCTTTTTATATATATAGATTAAGGGTTGGTGCATGAAATTCATGCAATGGTGGGGAGGGGTTGTCCCTTAGCCTGGCCTGCACCCTCTTCAATATGGGACCCCTTGGGGGATGTTCAACTGCTGGTTTAGGCCTGATCCTGCAGTCAGACTTCCCTCTCACAATCTGGTACTGCTGGCTCCTAACTGCTCACCTGCCTGCCTGCCTGATTGACCCTAACTGCTTCTGCCTGCCAGCCTGATTGCCTCTTGATAGCTCCCCTGCCAGCCTGATTGACGCCTAACTGCTCCCCTGCTGGCCTGATTGCCCCCAACTGCCCTCCCCTGCCATCCTGATGGCCACCAACTGCCCTCCCCTGTCGGCCTGATCTGCCTCCTTCATGTGAGGTGGCGGAGATGCTGGGACCAGCCTCCTCCATGCAATGGGGAGCCATGGGTCTCCCACCCAGAGTGGGTCAGGGCCCCGCCTCCGCTGTGTGCAGGGCCATCTTGTGGTGGACGTCTGGTAATGACATCGTATGGGAGGAACACTTAAGCTTTTATTAGTATACATAGTTCAGAACCTGATGCTTTTGGCATTCATTCATTCATTCATTCATTCATTTATTTTAGTCCAAAAGAAACAGAAGACTTTCAGTCAACTGAGTCTTTCGGTAACCAGCAGATGAATCTCAGTATTGGTGATGACAGCACTGGTAGCTGGTCCAATTTAAGTTTTGAAGATGAGCATCAGGATGAAAGCAGCAGTTTTCATCATCTAAGTGAAAGGTAACTAAAATTTTACATGTAGTTGCATAGTTTAGATCCTCAGACCTCTGAAGTGAGCTATTAGTTTACATTATTATTTAAAATTCTGAATTTGAGAATCTGTCATTATTTTCAAAATGTATTTTATTATTTGCAATATATTTCTAATGGTTTTTAACATTTAGTAAATACTAGAGTTCCGAAATTCTTGCATGGGTAGGGTCCACAGTGGCTGCCAGCAGGGGGCACCTCCCTTCCACTGGCCCTGCCCCTGGTTGAACTGGTCAAACTCCTGGTCGAACTCCCACTCAAGGGGACAATTTGCATATTAGGCATTTATTATATAGGATAATAATTAGCCCAGCTTATTTTCTCTGGATATACCAATAGTTGATTTGAAAATGTTGCATACATTTAATTTTATACCCTTTAGGCTTTACCTGGGCTTCTAATGAATTTTTGAGGAAAAACTTTTTTAAAGAGAGTACTTTTTTTTTCCCTGTAGAGCAGTGGTTTTCAACGTTTTTCATCTCATGGTACACTTACAGTAATTGCTAAAATTCTGTAGCACACCAAAAAATATATTTTTTACCAATCTGACAAAAAAAAAATAGGTATACTTTTGATTTGTTCACACCAAACAGGTACTAATATTGTTGTGTGGCTGTTGTCAATTTTTAATTTGACAATCTAAGGGAAAAGAGGTCAGTGCCCCTGACTAAATAGTCAGGTATTACATTTTTTTAAAAATTCTTGTGGCATACCAGTTAAAAATAGCTGTTTTAGAGGATAGGAAAAAGGACAGTTATCTATAAAAGACATAAAAATGGCCTGTAATTTCTATAGAAATTACAGTTTAGATAGTTTTTTTTTTTTTTTTTTTTTTTTTTTTTTGCGGGGGAGGGTTCCTTATTTGTCCTGCTACTCAGGAAAAAAATTATCCAGAGCATTTATATTCGAATGACTGAAAATACATAAACTCATTATAAATTGTATGGTATAGCAGAAGGCACCTACCTCATATATAACTTTTCTTAATTAACTTTATTTTGAATAAAGTTATAGAATATTTTATTTATTGTGATACAGTTGTTTCTTATATGCATAACTCCACACAGGCATTTTCTAACCAATAAAATTACATAAAATCTTTATCCACATTAATTGAAAGTTGGAAATGATAAATAGCTGAGTCTAGGAAGTGGAGAGGATTCTCAGCATACATACTTCCAATTTTGGGCATATGTGGAAAGGACCCTGTGAGGCTCTAGTAAACAGAGCCTTGGAATGGACTTAATCAGGAGCAGGAGGTGAGAGGAGGGGATGAGGGAGTGGAAAAAAGGAAATGGCTATTCTTTGTTAAGACATTACATTTCAGAGTATTTTGTTTGATGCTTGGATTAGCTAATAATTATTAGCATTTTTATAAAGTGTTTCATCATAGTTTCTTAAAATATATTTGTAAATTATCAATATTTTTTAAAATATAGACCCAAAAATAGCAGTTTTGAAAACTGGGAGTAGGAAGTGGGGGTGATAATCAAACATCATCACTTGGCTCTTTTCTATAACTTTATCTAGACTAGAATATGAACTCTTAAAATGTTCTCTCATCTTTGAGAGACATAGGCTTCTAGAGTTTCAGTGAGGGTTGACATTTCTTAGGAAATCCCAGTGTTAAAACGGGAAAACTAGGGTTAGAGGCTAGTGGCATTAAGAGGATTGTAGCCAGTAGAACAGTTCTATGTGGAATGTTACCTAGTTTGATGAAAAGAGGGAGACATCTACCATGCTCTGTTCTTGGTTCTGTTCTATATGGCATTATTTTATTGGTGATAAGTAATGCTCATTTCTGAATGACTTAAAACGAAGATGAAAGCAGTACATCAACAAGTGTTAGGAGTATTATACTAAGTGAAATAAGCCAGTCAGAGAAAGGCAAATACCATATGATTTCACTTATATGTGGAATCCAATGGGAGAAAAAAAACAAATCAAACTAGTAACAGACTCATAGATACAGAGAACAGATTGACAGCTATCAGAGGGAAGGTTGTTGGGAGGCTGGGTGAAAAAGGTAAAGGGATTAGCAAAGAAAAAAAAAACATTTCATAGACACAGAAAACAATATGGTGATTACCAGAGGGGGAGGTAGAAGAGAATAGAGGGGAGATGAATGGTGACAGAAGACTTGACTTGGCGTGGTGAACACACAATACAAAATACAGATGATATATTATAGATTTGTACAATTGAAACCAATGTAATTTTATTAACCAATGCCACTCCAATACATTCAGTAAAAATTTTTAAAAATTAGGATAAAAGATAATCCTAATAACAGAATCAAGGTTTAAAAAGACCAAATTGGATTGAGACTAAAATAAGTATATTTAATATGGATAAAAGCAGGTTGGTTCAGAAAATTAATATTTGAATTTAGGACAGGGAAAGTTTGGCTTGATAGCACTTTGTCAGAAAAACTTCTGTAGTTTAATCTACCACAGTCTTAAGAACTATTATGGCATTAAGGTTCAGCACAAAGAAAATTTCCCAAAATTTCCCAAGTGTTTAGGAGGAATGTATAATTATTAGATCAGAAAGAGAACTGGTCTATGTAAGTGAATTTCAAGTATTTCAGCAATTTGTGAATTTCTTCCCCTGCACTCATTTTTAAACTGAGTGGAAGAGAGGAAGGAGGGAAGAAGGGAGACAGACAGAGACAAAGGAAAACATTGACGTGAGAGACACATTGATTGGTTGCCTCTTGCTTGATCTCCCACTGGGCCCTGAGATCAATCCTGCAACCGAGGTACAAGGTACCAGTCCTTGACCGGGAATCGGACCCTTAACCCTTTGGTGCATAGGCTGACACTTTAACCACTGAGAAAAACTGGCCAGGACTGGTTTGTGAATTTCTTAAAAGTTAAGTTGTAGCCCTAGCTTGTTTGGCTGAGTGGATAGAGTGTCAGCCTGCGAACTGAAGGGTCCCAAGTTCGATTCTGGTTGGGGCCACATGCCTGGTTTGCATTAGGGGACATGCCGGAGACAGCCGAATGGTGGTCCTCTCACTGATGTTTCTATCTCTCTTTCCCTCTCCTTCCTCTCTGAAATCATCAAAGATATATATTTTTTAAAAAAGTTAAGTTGTAATAGATTTATGTAAGAGATGAGGCTTGACTTGCTAAATTTTTTAGATACCGGTAACTTTTGAGATGTGGCTGAAAGCCACAGTAAAGAATTTTTTATCCTGACTATCAGTGGTTTGCAAATGCCTGTCTTTAACATAGGAAACATGAAAAGACATAAAAGAAAATGGTGGAAGCAGAACAGTCTTTAGGAATGAAATGAAAAGACTTTTAAGGGAAGAAATGAAGTTGTTTTATGTGTGGTTAACATAGGATGATAATTCCTCCCAGTTTGCTCAGGACAGCCCTGGCTTACTTCTGTTCTGGTGTAATTATTTTATTTTCAGAAGTGCCCCGGTGAGGTGAAAAATACATGGTCATTCTAGTTTTAAGTGTCATTTTGTAAATAACTGACTTCAAATCTTTACTTCAAGGGACAACATGGAAGGGGGAATGAGGTTAAATAGAGGGAGTTGTGCAATATTTTAGCTGGTATTTTCATGTTTAATACTTAGATGATTTTATTAAATGGGGGAATCATTAGTGTATGGGTAAGAAGTTTGTACATTTTTGTGTGTAGATAATCATTCTGTTAATAGAAGTAAATAACAGTGTTTGAGATCATTAAATTTCTCTGGCTAGTAGCTTTCTGATCACTATTTCTATATTTTCTCAGTTTTGGTTTGTTGGACAGACTACATGGGCAAGATTCTGGTTTTAATAGTTTTATGATAGACCTATGTTTGTTTGAATATATGTAAAAAGCTACTGCTCTGTTGTAAATATTATTCTCTAATACGTTATAGTTTGTCACAATTTGTTAATGGTAGAGTAAACATGGATATGTAAATTATTCGCGATTGCTTGGAAACTACTTAGAACTTTTATTTTTATTTTATTTATTTATTTTTTAATTGATTTTATACAGAGAGGAAGGGAGAGAGATAGAGAGTTAGAAACATCGATGAGAGAGAGTCATCGATCAGCTGCCTCTTGCACACCCCCTACTGGGGATATGCCCGCAACCAAGGTACATGCCTTTGACCAGAATCGAACTCGGGACCCCTCAGTCCCCAAGCCGACTCTCTATCCATTGAGCCAAACCGGTCCCGGCACTACTTAGAACTTTTAAATAATCTTCCTTTTTCTAGCAACTTTGTCAACATTTACTGATGCCTGTGAAATTATTTAATGTTAATTCATTTTTAAAACCAAAACTTTGGTTTATGTAAATATTAACTTTTATAATTGCCTAGCGTAATATGGGGAAATATAGCTGCTTTCACTGCAAACTAATGTGCTTACTAATTATTTTAATAAGAATTTTTAAAAATTGCATGTTTAGGTGTTAACCTGAAAGATTGAATTTAGTTTTGTTTCTGAACACAGTTGCTTTTTGTTTTTTATTGTTTTGCTGCAGTTTTAGAATATAGTTGCTTTCTTCTTTTGATTGGCTTAGTATAAGTTGTTATCTGTTTGGCATTAGTGACTGGCCAACCAGACAAGGGAAATGCTTGAATAAGCCTTGGTTAATCAATATTCTGAATAAAATGTACGTTATTTGCCATCTACTGAATTATATGTAATATATGAAATGAAGATAATGGCATAATAAGAAAACTTTTTTTGCTAAGTAGTTGAAAAGGTCTCTTAGGACTATGTTTCAGTGACTACTCCCTCACCCCTCAAGTCTACTGTTTGCACTATCTAAAGACCTGAGAGAATGTTAACATGTGGTTTTTTATTTTTTAAACTTGTTCCAAACTGAAGAGTATTAGCTTTTAAAACTTGACATATACTTAATTTAATTGTAAAACTTCATGCATTCATTTGCTGTCTTTAAAGACATTTTGTTGTCACAATCTGTAAAATAAATATACATTTAGAATAATTTTTATGATCTCTTGAGGACAAGTAGGAAAATGTCCAGATCTCTGAAGCTGTCAGTTACCTTTTACAGTAGCAGAGTGGGCCTCTGGACCCCTGTGGATGCTGCACTCCCTTGTGGCAGTTTCAGAATAGCCACAGTTATCACTGGAGCAAAGCTGTTCCAAGGAAAACCACGATTGTCTGTACTATTCATTTTCTAGTTCAGCTCTGTTCTTTTCTTCCTCTGGCAGTAATGGTAACAGCAGTAGCTGGAGCAGTCTTGGTTTAGAAGGAGATTTGTATGAGGACAATTTATCCTTTCCAACATCAGACAGGTTGGTCCAGTCCAGAAACTTAAAAACTGATGAGTCTTTCACCACTAATGCATGATGTCATATTCTTAAAACAATGTGGGTTACAATGCCAATATATATCAAGCTGCTTTCCTCCTATTTTTTGACATGATTCTGCTTGATAAATTACATCTAATGAAAACATTCTACTATGCTAAGATATGATTGACATCTAATTGCAAAATGTATTACTTTTATGCATGTATTGCTCTGCTTGCTATTTTTCATTCTACCAATTATTATTTCATTAAAAAGAGCTTGCTTCCTACAGAATTTCTGGTTTTTTGTTTTGTTTTTTCCTTTGGTTTTGTTTTGTTTTTTTGTTTGTTTTTGTATATAGTTTTATTTCATACATAAGAAAAATGTGTTCTAACTATGTAAATATATAAACGGCATCAGCAGAAACATTAATAAATAATTATTTGTGGCATTCTATATTCAAATGCTGTGTTATTTAAAACCAAATTAGTAGAATATTTTGGCTTCAAATTATTTTAAATTAAATTTTATTATGAAATTATTTTGTGCTCTATATATCATGGTCAGGTAGAACTTCTAGGTTACAAAATCTTATCTAGGCATCATTTGCAATTCATATTTTAACATGAAATGGTGTGAGAAGCAAAGCTTCCTTTTTTATTGTCATTTCTCCCCTTTTTAAATATCATACATCATATTGTAACATTCATTCTTTACCACATTTCAAGAATTGGTTTTAATACCATTATTAAAGCTTTTTGGTTTTAACTGCTTCTGTTCTTTTATTTGAAAAGTGATGGGCCAGATGATAAAGACGAAGAGCATGAAGATGACATAGAAGGTAATTGACAGTTTGTTTTTTAAAATGTTTGCATGTTTTGTTTTATTTTTAATATATTTTTAATGATTTCAGAGAGGGATGATGAGAGAGATTCATTGATCAGCTACATCCTGCATCTTTTCTTACTGGGGATGGAGCCCATAACCAGGTGTGCACCCAGATTAGGAGTCTAACTATGACCTCTGGTTCATAGGTTGACACTCAACCACTGAGCCACAGTGGCAGGGCCATGCTTTTCTTTTTTTTTTTTTTTTTGCATTTTTTTTTTTAATTTTATTTATTTATTTTTTTATTTTGAAGTAAAATTTAATATTAACATTGTGAGTTATTATCTTTTGCATATCCTAGTTACACATTTCAAACAAATCGTCATTTATATTTACAGTATACAGATGCAAAGCATTAATTTCCCACTAAATCATCACTTTCTTAAAATGGTACATGTGATGTTATGAAATTAGCTATTAAGCATTCGAAATAGTGGAAAAGAGGTCCTTTCTTCAGTCTTTTTTTTTTTTTTTTTAAATATATATATATTTTTTTTTGATTTTTTTTTTGCAGCCCCTCCCTCCCTCCCTCACATCCCCTCCCTCCCCAGAGTTTTATGTCCATTGGTTGTACTTATGTGCATGTATAAAAGTCTTTCGGTTGATCTATTATCTCCCCCAGATCTTCCTCCCCTCCCTGCTGTAATTTGACAGTCTGCTTGTTGATATACTATCTTTATATCTATCTTTTGGTTCATCAGTTTATAATGTTCTTTATTATCCACAAATGAGTGAAGTCATGTGGTGTTTTTCTTTCAATGACTGGCTTATTTCACTCAGCATGATGTTCTCCATTTCCATCCAGGTTGCTACAAATGATGAGAATTCCTTCTTTTTTATGGCAGCATAGTATTCCATTGTGTAGATGTACCAAAGTTTTTGGATCCAATCATCTGCTGATGGGCACCTAGGCTGTTTCCAAATTCTAGCTATTGTAGATTGTGCTGCTATGAACATAGGGGTGCATATATCCTTTCTGATTGGTGTTTCTAGTTTCTTGGGATATATTCCTAGGAGTGGGATTACTGGGTCAAATGGGAGTTCCATTTTCAGTTTTTTGAGGAAACTCCACACTGTTCTCCACAGTGGTTGCACCAGTCTGCATTCCCACCAGCAGTGCACGAGGGTTCCCTTTTCTCCACAACCTCGCCAACACCTGTCGTTTGTTGATCTGTTGATGTTGGCCATTCTGACAGGTGTGAGATGGTACCGCATTGTTGTTTTGATTTGCATCTCTCGGATAATTAGTGACTTTGAGCATGTTTTCATGTGCCTTTTGGCCTTCCTTCTGTCTTCTTTTGGAAATATTCTACTTAGGTCCATTGCCCATTTTTTAATTGGATCATTCATCTTCCTTTTATTTAGTTGTATAAGCTGTTTGTAGATGTTGGAGATTAAACCTTTATCAGTGGTAACATTTGCAAATATGTTCTCCCACATCGTGGGCTTTCTTGTTGTTTTGTTGATGGTTTCTTTTGCTGTAAGAAAGCTTTTTATTTTGATGTAGTCCCATTTGTTTATTTTCTCTTTAGCTTCCATTGCCCTAGGGGCAGTATCAGTGAAGAAGTTCTTTTGGCATATGTCTGAGATTTTGCTGCCCGTGGATGCTTCTAGTATTTTTATGGTTTCCCGTCTGATGTTTAAGTCCTGTATCCATTTTGAGTTTACTTTTGTGTATGGTGTAAGTTGGTGATCCAGTTTCATTCTTTTGCATGTATCTGTCCAATTTTCCCAACACCATTTATTGAAGAGACTGTCTTGACTCCATTGTATATTCATGCCTCCTTTGTCAAATATTAATTGAGCATAGTGATTTGGGTTGATATCTGGGTTCTCGATTCGATTCCATTGATCTATATGTCTGTTTTTGTGCCAGTACCAGGCTGTTTTGAGAACAGTGGCTTTGTAATACAGTTTGAAGTCTGGTATTGAGATCCCTCCTACTTTACTCTTCTTTCTCAGGATTGCTGTGGCTATTCGGGGTCTTTTATTGTTCCAAATGAACTTTTGGAGAGTTCTTTCTAGGTCAGTGAAGTATGCCGTTGGTATTTTAATGGGGAGTGCATTGAACCTATAGATTGCTTTAGGAAGTATGGACATTTTGATGATGTTGATTCTACCAATCCATGAACATGGTATGTTCTTCCATCTGTTTACATCTTCCTCTATCTCTTTTTTCAGTGTCGTGTAGTTTTCCGCATATAGGTCCTTTACTTCCTTAGTTAAATTTATTCCTAGCTATCTTAATTTTTTTGGTGCGATGGTAAATGGAATTGCTTTTTTAGTCTCTGTTTCTATAAATTCGCTGTTGGTGTATAGAAATGCCATAGATTTCTTGGCGTTAATTTTGTATCCTGCTACATTGCCAAATTCATTTATTAAGCCAATTAGTTTTTTAATGGAGTCTTTTGGGTTTTTTATGTACAATATCATGTCGTCTGCAAATAAGGATAGCTTTACTTCTTCTTTTCCAATTTGGATGCCTTTTATTTCCTCCTCTTGTCTAATTGCAATGGCTAGTACTTCCAGTACTATGTCAAAGAGGAGTGGCGAAAGTGGGCATCCCTGTCTTGTTCCTGTTCTTAGAGGGAATGGTTTTAGTTTTTGCCCATTGAGTATGATGTTGGCTGTGGGTTTATCATATATAGCTTTTATTATGTTGAGGTATGATCCTTGTACTCCCACCTTGTTGAGAGTTTTTATCAGGAAAGGGTGTTGGATTTTATCAAATGCTTTTTCTGCATCAATTGATATGACTATATGATTTTTATCTTTCAACTTGTTTATGTGATGTATCACGTTTATTGATTTGCGGATATTGTACCATCCTTGCATTCCTGGAATAAATCCTACTTGGTCATGGTGTATGATCTTTGTGATGCTCTGCTGGAGCCGATTTGCTAGAATTTTGTTGAGGATTTTGGCATCTATGTTCATGAGGGATATTGGCCTGTAACTCTCTTTCATTGAGTTGTCTTTATCTGGTTTTGGTATTAGGGTGATGCTGGCTTCATAGAAGGAGTTTGGAAGTGTTCCTTCCTCTTGGATTTTTTGGAATAATCTGAGGAGGATAGGTTTTAGTTCTCCCTTGAATGTTTGGTAAAACTCTCCTGTGAAGCCATCTGAGGGCCATGCTTTTCTATAAGCTTCTCTAGAAGAGTCTTTAATTCTTGATTTTGTGCATTACGTTGGTTAGGTTATGGGCCATTATAAATAAGGGTATCTACACTAAAAACAGTAAGATGCAAATTGATAGTACCTTTCAACACCCACCAGCCAATCAGGAGTGAGTATGTATATCAACTCAATAAAGTGGTGGGTTAATTTGCATACACAGTGCTGAGCAGCTTGTGGGGGAAGGGGACACTTGCGTTGTCGCCATGGCAACGATGCAGGCATTTTTGCACTGCCCCAGCCGCTCTGGGCCTCTGAGCTTCATGGGAAGGCAGGAAGGCGGCTCTGGGCGGAGTGAAAAGGCGGTTCTGGCCAGAGTGAAGGCGGTGCTGGCAGCCAGGAGAAGGAAGGCCCATTCTTGCATGATCTTCATGCATCGGGCCTCTAATTTATGTTATAAATCAGGGTATTCTTAAGTTAATTTATCCAATGTCAGGCCTTTTTTTTTTTTTTTTAATATATTTTATTTATTTTTTACAGAGAGGAAGGGAGAGGGATAGAGTTAGAAACATCCATGAGAGAGAAACATTAATCAGCTGCCTCCTGCACACCCCCTACTGGGGATGTGCCTGCAACCCAGGTACATACCCTATACCAGAATTGAACCTGGGACCTTTCAGTCTGCAGGCTGACACACTATCCACTGAGCAAAACCAGTTTCGGCCAATGTCAGGTCTTTTGTTGAGCAATTTGTATTATTTTATTGCTAAACGAATGAAGTACCCATTGATATAAAGACTGAGTTGCTTTAAAAGAATGATTTAGTTACTTGTAAGGGAAATTTATGATCAACTATATAGTGATCTTTTTTAAAATATAAATTCCTTACTCAGAGGATATTATTTATTATAACTATAGCTTATGTCATTCTTTCTTTCCAAATAAGTAACTTCTAGAATTAGTGTTTAATGATAATCTCACATAAATCATATTCCCTCTTTCTGCCCACATTCTAGTCCTATACTCACATACATGTATTTGAAGAAAATACTCAATTCTTTCTTTAATGAACATAGTTCTGAATATGTTAATATCAGATACAATTGGTTACGGAGTTCTGGACTATGATTTGTAACCCCAAATTCAACTGAGTGAATCTAAAAATGGTTCATGTTGAAGCTGAATGTTTTTAAAATGTATAAATTTTTATTGATTTCAAAGAGGAAGGGAGAGGGAAGAGAGTGATAGAAATATCAGTGATGAGAAAATCATTGATAGGCTGTCTCCTGTATGCCCCACGCAGATCGAGCCCACAACCTGGGCATGTGTCTTTGACTGGAATTGATCCTGGGACCCTTCAGTCTGTAGGTTGATGCTCTATCTACTGAGCCAAACCAGCTTACGGCGAAGCTGAATTTTTATTGTATTTAGACTAGAGGCCCAGTGCACAAAATTCGTGCACGGGGGTGGGGGTGGGGTGGGATTGTCCCTCAGCCCAACATTCACCTTCTCCAATCTGGGACCCCTCTCACAATCCAGGACTGCTGGCTCCCAACTGCTCGCCTGCCTGCCTTCCTGATTGCCCCTAACCACTTCTGCTGCCAGCCTGATCACCCCCTAACCACTCCCCTGCCATCCTGATTGATGCCTAACTGCTCCCCTGCCAGCCTGATTGCCTCTAACTGCCCTCTCCTGAAGGCCTGGGACCTCCCCCCCTCCCCAATTGCTCTTCTCTGCAAGCCTGGGTCCCCCCCACCAACTGCTCTTCCCCGCAGGTTTGATTGCCTCCAATTTTCGTCCCCTGCTGGCCTGATCGCCCCCAACTGCCCTCCCCTGCAGGCTTGTTCACCCTCAACTGCCCTCCTTTGCAGGCCTGGTCCCTTTCAACTGCCCCCCCCCTCCCTGCTGGCCATCTTGTGGTGGCCATCTTGTGTCCACATAGGGGCAGGATCTTTGACCACAAGGGGGCAGCCATATTGTGTGTTGGAGTGATGGTCAATCTGCATGTTACTCTTTTATTATTGATAGATAGGATAGAGACCCGGTGCATAGGAGGGGGTCAGCTGGTTTACCTGAAGGGTGCCCCAGATCAGGGTGGGGGTTTCTTTAGGGCATGGGGCAGCCTGGGCAAAGGGCCTGTGGTGGTTTGCAGGACAGCCATGCCCCCCGGCCACCCAAGCGGAGGCCCTGGTATCTTGTATTTATTTATCTTCTATAATTGAAACTTTGTAGTGCAGCCTTGAGTGGAGGCCAGGGCTGGCAGGAAGTTTGGCTTCCTCCATTGCCAGGGGAAATCCAAGCCTCCTGCTGGCTCCAGTTCCATGGCTGCCACCATATTTATTGGGTTAATTTGCCTACTCAACCCTGATTGGCTGGTGGGCATGGCTTGTGGGCATAGCAGAGGTACAGTTAATTAACATGTTTCTCTTTTATTAGATAGGATTGTAGCCAACTTAAAAAAATTTTAAATTAGAAATTGGTAAATTAGGAGATAGATTGATATAGATTTATAGAAATATTCAAAATTATGGAAATTCTTAGGAAACAACCCTTAAATTTTTTTTGTTGGTTTGTAGTTTAGAATGTCAGTCCCTTTTCACTGTATTTAGTTCCTTCTCTAAAGACAAAGGTCACTCATAGGTGAGGCAATCAGGAGTCCTGAACTGAAAAAGCCAGTAGTACAGAGAAGCCTTGGGGTGACAACTTCCAACCTTATCACCTCTGAAGAAATTACAAAATGGCCCAGAGGCCACATTTAATACGATAGTGTACCAAAACCCCTTTTTGATTTAAAGTCAGTGGTAAGAAAGGAGGGCAAAATAGTACATTTATTTTAAGAGAATAATGTGGACCAGCTTTTTAATTTTTTTATTATTTTTTTAAGTTAATCCTTAAGGTAAATTTTCCATTGATGTTTAGAGAGAGTAGAAGGGAGCATAAGAGAAGAGAGAGAAAAATATTGATGTGAAAGAGACATACCAATTGGTTGTCTCTTATACATGCCCCTACTTGGACCAGGATCAAGTCTGCAACTAAGGTACATGCCCTTAACCTGAATCGAACCCACAACCCTTCAATTCACAGGCCAACACTCTAACCACTGATCGAACTGACTAGGGTCAGCCTAGCTTTTTAAATGAAAAAATTAGGGACCTACACATATCCTAAAAATAATTAGTAGTGGTCTAGAATGCAAACTATAAAACTATAAAAGTGAATAAGGGACATTAACCAACAAATTTCCATTACTGGTACAATTTGGTACCATGTCTGCCAGCAGGCCTTACTATTCACCTTTTGTGTGGCAGGGCCCGTGTTTTAGCATTGCTTATTTCCCAACCATCCTAACTTAAGCATGAGTGTTAAATCATTACTTTTACATTCAATAGAGATTCATCCTACTTTATGTTGAAAACACAATTTTATTTTATTTTTTAATCACCTGACAATATTTTTTTAACTTTCATTTTATTTTACTTTTTAAATCCTTATCCAGAGATATGATTTTCATTGATTCTAGAGAGAAAGGAAAAAGGGAGGGGGGATAGAGAGAGACATCAATGTGAGAAAGAAACATCAGCCAGTTGCCTCATATGTGCCCTGACCAGGGTTTGAACCTGCAACCTAGATATGTGCCTGACTGGGAATCAAACCCATAACCTTATTGTTGCACAGGAAGATGCTCCAACCAACTGAATGGGCCAGGGAGAAAACATAACTTCATTAAAAAAAAAAACAAAAAAAACCTGAGAGCAATATTTTATTTATAATAGCAGTGTGCCAGAAAATTCCCTTCTCTTGCTTTTGGGATTAAAGTAGTTGTATATAACATTTTTCCATTAAGAGCATGGAGCCAGATTGCCTGTGTTCATATCCTTCCTCAGCACTTCCTGACTCTGAGACTCTGGGTCTCTCTCTGCCTCTGATACTTTACCTGTAAAGTGGAGATGACAATAGTGTTTCTACATCATAGGTGGTTTTGGATTATAGGACTTTGCATATCTAAACAACTTAGAATAATACTTCAATGTATGCTATATAAGTAGTTGCTGCTGCTATTTCTCTTAGTTCAGAAAGCTTTCTTAAAGTCCATTTAATGTGTTTAGTTGAGGTTTTTATTTTTGTGTTTCATTTGTATTTTGATTGTAATCTTGCTTTATAGTTTCATTTTCTCTCCCTTTACCTGTGGATCATATTTTGACACAAATGATGGCATGTGGTATTGTGCTATCAGTAGGTGATCAAAGCTATCCCTTTGTTTTATATTATTTTGCCCTTTCAAAGAACTTTTTAATTGATGCTTTGGTATGGTTAAGAAAGGATGAATTTTTCCAAAGCATTCATTGGAATCTTAAGACGGGGCAATTATTTACATACCCTTGGAAACTAAGAGTATTGAGAGTTGAATTGATGCATTTCACTTTCTATTGTTTAAATTTAAATATTAGGTTTGGGGCAAGATGGAAAGACTCTGCTAATAACGAATATTAACATGGAACCATGCACAGTAGACCCTCAACTAAGAATTATTCTTCAGTGGCTCGTGGCCTCTGAGGCTGAAATTGCAGAACTTTCTTTTCATGACTCTGCAAAGAAGGAGTTTATACAAGTAAGTATCTGCCTTACAGGGTGGTTGTGAGGATACATTTAGTACATCATGTTTTGTGTCAACTGGTTGATCTAATAAGATAACTCATTGATAGTAGATTAAATGTATAGGCCATAGAGTCTGATAGTTGGGCTCATATATCAGCCCTGCTACTCTCTAGCATACATGTAACCTTGGGCAAGTTCATCAATTTCCTATCTGCACTGTGTAAGTGAGTATAGAATGTACAGAGGTTTGTGAGGATTCAATATAATACTATAAAAAATGCTTAGTCTAGTGCCTGGTATATCCTAAGTTCTCAAAGTTAGGTGCCATTAATAAACATTTCAGGTGTTTCTATGAAAAGATTGAGTTTGTATTAAATTGATTTATAATTGTGCCTATTACTTGATTTGTCTCTTTCTCTGTTAATCCAGTTTCATTAGTGTGAGGAGCTAGCAAAATCAAAAGTCAATAGAAGTTTAAATTCTAATAAGGGACAATGGACCTGTTTAATAAGGTTCTAATAAAACATCCAGATTTGATATGCTAATAGGATATTTTTATTGAGAACATACTGTATACCAAGCACTTTGCTAGTCAAGATTTTCAGTTTACTGCACAAACCAGCATTTGGGAATCATTACCACAGCTCTTTTATCTCAAGTATCTAAAAAATAATGAGCATATTTGCTAAAGAAATGTAATGGTATGTTATTAAAATAAACATCTGTATTTTTATTTTAAAATTTTTTTCCCCCGTTTAGATTCTTAGGGTTTTTGGCTCAGAATGTTTCTTATCAGAACTTTGGTTTAATTTAATTGTAAGGTATAAAATAGTCTAATGAATAACCAATGTGGATTGCTCAATAATAAAAAAGGAACTGTCCAGTTTCTTGTGATTCCTGGTTCAAAATTTACAAAAGTATTGTTGGAAGAAGTATGTGAAAAAGATATTTTGAAAAAATACTGGGTTTTTTGTTGTTGTTTGTTTTTACTTAGATATTTTGGTTTTGTTTTGTTTTTCCAGTTTAGATCTCTGTTTTTGGGCAAAGGGAAAAATAAGACAAAGTGATGCTCAGGAAATAAACTGTCAGGGAGAAAGGATGGGTAGGAAAAGTGTTAGAAATGACTTTAGGGAGCAAACATTTTCAAGTCATTTAGTCTTAGATGGGCTAAGAAAGGCCAGCAGCAGAGTTGAGTGTGATAGCGCTTGAGTTAAGGGACCTTGTCCCCATGTAACCTCAGAAAATATTCTGCCAGTTCCTCAAAAAGTTAAACATAGAAAGAAAAAAAAAAAAAGTTAAGCATAGCATTATTGTATAATGCAGCAATCCCATTCCTAAGTATATGTATGTTGTCCATTGCAACATTATTCATAATGGATCAACAGTGGAGACATCTTTAGTGTCTATTAACTAATGAATGGGTAAATAAAATATGGCATATCCATGTAATGGAACATAATCCATCAATAAAAAGGAATGAAGTGGATACATGCTACACCATGGAGGAACCTTGAAATTATTGTGCTAAGTGAAAGAAGCTGGTCATAATAGATTATGTGATATAAATAGTTTCATATAAATGACTTCATTTATATGAAGCTAGAGGCCCAGTGCATGAAAATTCATGCACTGATGACAGGGGCGTCCCTTAGTCCTGCCTGCCCCTTTCACAGTCCAGGAGCCCTCAGAGGTGGAAGGCTACCCAGCGATCAGGGAAAGGCTACGCCCCCATCACAACTCTGCTGCTGCCACTGCCAGCAGTGCAAGCCTCGGTCAGCCCTGGTTACCTGAGCCTCAGGCTGAGTTGTCGCCATCTGAAGCTTGCCTGTGCCTTGGGCAAGCCCTGGGCGGCTGGGGGGTTGACGGGACTCGGGGACTCTGGAGCCAGGTGTGCAGAGCGACCGGACCCACCTGAGGGCAGACCCGGCCGTGCTGCCATCCCGGCGGGGCTGAGGGTACTGGGCACTGCCGTCTTGTGACTGTGGGTGCCACCATATTTGAGGGCACGGCATTCAATTAGTACATTCCTTCCTTATTGGCTGTAGGTACTGCCATTTTGTGAGAGCACGATGGTCAATTAGCATGTTCCCTCTATTACATAGAATGGCTAAAATAGACAAATAGAGTCAGAAAGTAGATTAGTTTCTCACAACCCTCTTAACTCTAAAGACTTGAGAGGGTTGGGAGAAATGGGAAGTGATTACCAATGTGTAGGACTTTCCTTGTGTGATAAAATGTCCTCATATTGGTTGTGGTGATAGTTACATTCAACTCAGTGAATAATAATAAAAACCATCAACAGGTAACTTTTAAAGAGTGAATTGTGTGGTATGTGAATTATATTTTTATTGAGGTATAATTCAAAAGCTATTTTTCAAAAGGCTAAGCATATTTATAGAAATTAAAGTAGTTTTTACAGAATTAAATAGAAAAAAAATGAGTGAAGATGTTCTGATTGGTGATGATAGTTTAATTTAAACCTGTATGTATTAACTTTTTAAAAATCCTCATTAGATTATATGTTTATTGATTTTAATCAAGAGAGCAAGAGGAAGAGAGAGAATGAAAGAAAGAAAGGGGAAAACATCCATTGGTTGCCTCCCATATGCATCCTGACTGGGAATTTAACCCTAAACCTTTTGGTGTACATAATGACGCTCCAAGCATCAGAGACACCCGGCCAGAGCTACTTAGGTTTTTAATTGCGGTATAATTGCTATATAATATTATATTAGTTTCAGGTATACAACATCATATATATTGTAATGTGAAATGATACCACAATATTTTACTTTTGGTGTGTTTTTTTTTGTTTTTTTTTTGAAACATTAACATTTCTTAACTTAGAAAACCATGTTTCCTTTGAGGCTACAGTGTGTATTCCAAAAACACACACCACACTATATGTTGTGGAAGGAAAATCCACATCCTTTTATTAAGCTTGACATTGTCTTTATTATTTTATGTTTCTACTAGAGGGTGTGGCAGATGTATTTAGTTAGGTTAAGAATTTCCTGTAGAAATGTGGCACTATACTCCCACACAGGATATTTGCTTGGTGAGATTATTGGAGTTCTGTCTCCAGCAATGCCAAAGTGTCATTCTGTGGAGGAGATGTGTTTATAAAGGGCAAGAAAGGAAAATGTTTAATTTGGTAAAGTGGTGGTTAGGAGGAAACTTTGTTATAACTGGGAAACAGTATTTTATTACAAACAGCAGGATTCTTAGATTTCGCTGATGTTAATATAAATGAAAACTTTATTGTTATAAAATTATTTTTGGCTAATGTTTGACATATCTTTCTGTCTTATTAGCTTTCAAAACAATTACAAGAAAAAGGATGGAAAGTGGGAGACCTCCTGCAGGCTGTACTTAACTACTATGAGGTGGTGGAAAAGACTTCCAGTGAAGAGAAATGCAAGTCACTGTATGATTGGCTCTTGGAAAACGCATAGAACAAATTCCAAGCCAGTATATGTTTATTATTTGTTTTAGGAGAGGAAGAAACAGATAAAGACGCATAGGATAAAATTTGAATAGTGAATATTAACATTTAAAGTGAACTGGGGGAAAGTAAATATAGCTTTTTATGCTCATGGGTCGTCACATACTGTATATAATTCATACTTTTGTAATCTCTGTTCAAATATTATCTTCATTCTTCTATACACATGTGTAATATGTTAAAACCCTAAGAAGGTATTTGAAGGAAGGTATAACTGTGAGGTTTTCAGGGACATTGATGTCATTCTTTTTACATCCAAACTGTGCTGCTAGAAACTGCACTGTGGTGGCTAAGGATAGGTTCCAGGGGTAAAGAGTTAGAATTTGCTCTGTTGTAAACAAGTGGTATCCTATTAATAGCTAATTGACATTAAAAAATAGCATTGGAGTTGATTTTTTTCTGGTAATTTTGGACTTATTTTTAAGTCAATTTTATTTTGAAAGCTCAGCTATTGGTAGGTTTTTGAATCCCTCAAATTATTTAATTCCTTAGGAACATTCGTATTTTAGGTTTCTGATAATACTGTAAATGATAGTTTCTCAGCCTTTCATCAAAGTACATTATTTCTAATCGTTCTGGCAGGAAAGGAGTGTGTGTGTGTGTGTGTGTGTGTGTGAGAGAGAGAGTGTGAGTGTGTGTAAAGGAATACTTTAACCTTGCTAGTGGTTTGTGCCCTCTTTTATTTTAATATTTTCTTGGTTAGAAATTCACCATTGATATTAAAAAGGTGCTTTAAAATAAAATGTCTGTAAAGATTGTGCAGCAAAAAATTTTATTTATTTTTTTGACTATTGGGTCCCCAACTTATCCTATAAGTTAAAATAAAGTTGAAAAATATGTTGAAATTAAAAAAATTAATGTTAATAGGGAAATGCATTTAGAGAAGCCCAATAATGATTTTCACTCATGAATTTTTGAAAACCTCTCCACTTGAGCAAGGATAAGTTTTTTTCTAGGAGGGAAAAAAAGGATCCTTCCGTGATAAAATCTATCTGCACTATTTTGTAAACCTCTGACATCCTTTTGGGCTCTACATTTCCTACTGCTTTAGCTTTAGAAACTGCAAGTTGATTTGACTAGAGGATCAAGATTGTGTCTTGGTTGAGGGTTTGCATGTGTGGATTTTTGATTCTTCTATGAGTGGATTTTGTAATCCAGAGTAAATCACTTTTTTCTGGGGGCTTTGGTTTTGCTTTAATACATTTTTTTTTTTTCTGAGCACTAACTTTTTTGGAAACTGCACATAGTATAGAAGCAATAGCACCTGCCATGGGACAAGAAATAAGGGTACTTAACATTAATTTTAATTAATAATTACGGTAGAGAAATGTATTTTATAATGAAAGAGTCAAATTTGCTTTTTAAGAAAATGCCAAGAGCTATTTAAATATTTTGAGGTTATATTGCAAGTTTTGGTTTTTCTCAATTTAAGATAAAGAACAGGCCTTGAAAATAAAAGTTCCTAGAGTTTCTTTAAGTATTTTTTAAAGTGGAGAAATGCAGGAAATTATATAACCAAAATTGTTTCTGTCTTTAGCTTCTTGGAACTTTGACATACAGCAGCACTGGACTGGGTTTTTAAATGTTAGGAGCTGTGTTGTTAATTATAACATGTGTTACCTGATTAAGTTTGGATTGAATTTTTACAAATGTATAACTGTCATTGTGTTTAGAAACTCCAGTGTATGTATGGGTTTGATTAACAGCAAACTGAGTTCTGAATTTCTTTTAACCTAAAGTGACAATATATTCTGTAAAATTTTGTGCTTGAAAAATGTTTATTTCTTGTGGCAATAGTCATTTTGAGGTAAGATTTTCCTCAGCTCCTTTTCTCCTTTGCAGTTTTATGGAGCTGTGCTGTTTTCTGAGTTCTCTTAGTTAGCCTCCACTTATGTCAGCCCAGGCATTAGGTATTGGCATGCCTAGTAATAATCATAGGGAAGTCCACACTTGTATCAGTTACAGTGCAGGGGCATAGAGAAAATGTTAAGTATTGGCAGATGTGAAAAGAAGCCTCCTTACTTAGAAAACATTTGTGTTTAGAGCAGTATTTTTATCAAATACAGTCTAAATTTACTTTCTTTGAAGGCACTTTGTGATTTTTCCAAAGACATTCTAGATCCCTTTGATTGCTCAGTCTTCAGAACAGCTCTGTTTTTTGAAGACAACTCTGTCTTATTTTAATATAAATCTACTTGACCTATTTATATTATGATATTGTATTAATATCATTCTGTAGATTTTGGCTCTTATGAAATAGCTTATTCAGAACTGTTAAAATTGTGATGAGCATTGAGTTGAATTTTCTTTATCACATTAGAGCCATTGAAGGATCTGTGGAAAGAAAGTGAATGAGGCCTCTGATATGGGGTTTTTAGAACATTATTTTAGATTGAAATGTGGCAAGTCTTTCATAGTCTTTTCTCAAGTTAAATTTAAATTTTTAGTATTAGTAACGTTGATTTTGAAAATATGTACAGATTTATACAAAATAAATGATTCATTTATAAATCACAGGAGAAAATTATAATCTCTGTTGGATGGTTTGATACAATGTAATGGAATAAAACCTTTGAAAGTGTTCACTCAGTGAATATATGTGATGACATCTTTATACTTTGAAAAATGTTTCACTTACCCTTTCAGATATTTTATATGAATTAATTAAATTAATAATACTTTCATTATGCTTAAATAAGTGGTTTATGTTGTTGATAAGAGAGTTTGATTACTTACTAAATGCACCCTATATGAAATGAAAGGTGGTTTGCCCAATGACATTGACATAAGTGCGCATTCCCCAAAGGTAAACTTGAGTCATCAGAGCCCAGACTCAGATGTTTTCTTAGTTAATTATTTAGCTAATATTATTCTTCCACAATTAAATGTTATCAATTTCCCATCAGTCTATTGCTTACATTATATATTTTTCAATGGAAACTTTCCAACGAATTTTTAAAAAATGACACATCCATACCCAAACTGTAAGGAAAATAAAATACTTTCATTTAAAACCCTATCCACCTGTCACTAGCACAAAAGAGAGCTTCAATGGGAATTATAAAATTGTACTAAAGTGAAATACATTTTTTTTCTCATTTGTAGCAAAAGGCCCTATATGCAGTTACTCACTATTTCTGCTCTGAAGAAGCAGATACAGTGTTAGTCACTCTTGTCACTTTATTTATTTATTTTTTTTTTTACCATCCATGTACATTCCTTTTACAAGGGTAGAATTGTAGTTGTAGACGTTCATTGTTTTATTTTTGTTGTAATGTTTGAATACTATTTAATATCAGGTTTAATATTGCTGGATTTGCTATCTTCGGTTATTTGTGCAGTGTTAAAAGTAATTCACATTCTTATTTAATATACCAGATATATAGAAAAAGCAGCTTTAAATAATTGTAGTTGTTTATTTGACTGTGCTGAATTACTATATTAAGATCTTATATTGTATAACAGTAACTTCTTTCTGCTTTTCAGTAATTTAATATGTTCATTTACCGAACTATGAACTTTAGGATGCACTAAAATTTTGTTTCAGCAGTGGTTCAAAATAAACATTTCAGAAATTACTTTTGTAATAATTCACAGTTGTTCTTTTATCTTTCATCAATTGTTTAAGTCTGTGATTTTTCCCCTTCCACCTAAGAATTCTTCAATAAACTTAAGAATTGCCTGGCCTTGGTTTCATTGTATAGTATCTTATTAACTACTCTGAACTGAAATAAAACGAAGGCAAACAAGTGGAACTGCTATAATAGAAGATACATCAAACAACCTCAGTAATTCTAACTTGATTTTCTAGTACAAGAGAAGTTAGGAATGAATATATATATTTAAGTCCTTACCTGAGGACATGTTTACTAATGAGAGAGAGAGAAAGAGAAACATGGATGTGAGAGAACCGGGGATCTAATCCACAACCTTTTGGTGCATGGAACATGCCCTAAACAACTGAGCCACCTGGCTAGGGCAAGAAAATTTTTAATTGTACACTGGATTCTAACTACTTATTTAGGAGCTTTTGGATTCTGACACCGTGACTTGAAAGGCTGTTTGTCTAATCTGATTTGGATTTTAGTACAAAGTAGAACAAGCATGTCAAACTGGCAGGCTGCATTCAGCCCACCAATATAACAGTATGTAAGGAACATTTTAATAAAAATTTTGTAACTTAATTTTTACAGTAGCCTGTTATACATAATCTATACTAATCATCTAAGTGGTTGTCACATCCTCACGCAACATGCCCTAACGTCGTCACAAGATGGCCATACTCACAGTAGAGATGGGGCCCAGGGGAAGAGGCGGCTCGCAGCAGGGGGGGAGCGGTTGGGGGAAGATCAGGCTGGGAGTCAGGTGAGCAGTTAGGAGCCAGTAGTCCCGGATTGTGAGAGGGATGTCTTGAGTTCCATTTTAGGCCCAATCCCTGAGGGGGTATTGGCCATTCTAGCAGTTGGACATCTCCTGAGGGGTCCCAGATTGGAGAGGGTGCAGGCTGGTCTGAGGGACCCCCCTGCGCATGAATTTCGTGTATCAGGCCTTTAGCTATTAATAACGAACTACAATGTTCGTTAATGACTGATTACTATAATACTATCAGCGAATATTTTAGCAGCTGATGGCCACATCATTAATTTTGGACTGACTTGTTTGGTGTGCGCAACAGGAAATATTTTGCTTTCAGAGAACAAAATAAATAGGTTTATTTGTGTTGTGCTTATTACTTTTTGCAGTTATTCAGTGTTTGGTAAGTTAATGTTTAAGAAAAACATGGTTTGGCTCGGTGGATGGAGCATCGGTCTGCGGACTAAAGGATCCTGAGTTCGATTCCAGTCAAGGGCATGTACCTTGGTTGCGGGCACATTCCCAGTGGGGAGTGTTCAGGAGGCAGCTGGTCGATGTTTCTCTCTCATCAATGTTTCTAGCTCTCTATCCCTCTCC